ACAGGGTCACTATGAGTCGTCTATGACTCAACAGAACTTAACAACAATGACAACAACATCCAAATGCCATCAAGTTGATTCCAGCTCACAGTAAGCTCCTGTGTATCAAAGTAAAGCTGTGCTCCATAGAATTTTCAATGGCTGACTTTTCAGAAGTAGATCATGAGGTCTTTCTCTCATTACGCCTCTACATGGACTTCAACGTCCAACCTTTCAATTAGCTGTTGGACATAAAATTATCTGAGCCAACAATTTGTACCTTATCTGTCACCAAGTGCCAGTCCTTTTCTTTCTCTACATCTCTAGGATACAATAAAAATATACAAACCACCTTTCTATTAAGATGGTGCCGAAAACATAGAAAGAAGCCCCTGCCCCTTCCAAATTTGAAGCCAAAGCAAAAGCATTAAAGTACAAGAAGGCAGTTCTGAAGGGCATCCACAGCCACAAAAAAAAAAGAAGATCCAAAAGTCTCCCACACTGAGAGTCCAAAGGCAGCCCAAATACCTCCTGGAAGAGCACCCCCAGGAGAAACAAGCTTGACCACTATGCTATCATCAAGTTTCCCTGACCACTGAGTCAGCCATGAAGAAGACAGAAGGTAACACACTTGTGTCTACTGTGGATATCAAGGCCAACATGCACCACATCAAACAAGCTGTAAAGAAGCTCTATGACACTGATGTGCCCAAGGTCAACACTTTAATTAGGACTGATGGAGAGAAGAAGGCCTATGTTCAACTTGCTCCTGACTATGATGCTTTGGATGTTGCCAACAAAATTGGGATCATCTAAACTGAGTCCAGCTGGCTAATTCTAAATACAAATTTTTCTCTCACACACACACGAAAATATACATATAAACCAGTATAAAAGAAAATATATATATAAAAACTCTGAATAAAATCTTGATGTGTACCTTCTTTACCCTGAATCCTCATCAAAGCAGTATTTCTCTCTATGAAGGGATAGAAAGAGTCGCATAAAACCTTTAGTTCATGTGACCCTTCCTAGGAATATAGACTTCATGAAAAAAAGTTCTAGGAACAAATAAATCTCAGGAGGTTCTGTGATTTGGGGGCAGAAAACACAAGTACTTCAAGATTAGAGAACTGTAGTTCTATTCACAAAGCTTTACTAGAAAATGTTCTATAAACAGATGAGCAGACAAATTCGACGTAATGTCCAATTTCGCAAATAAATTGTCGTAAGAACATACTTGACCCATTCATTTACTTACTGTTTATAATTATCTCCATACTATTAACTACAGGCAGTGGGCTCTGGTAGTCTAGTGGGTGAAGTTTTGGTGCCAACCCAAAGGCAAAGGGGCGCTGTGAATCCAGCATCTTCTCTGAGGAAGAAAGAAGGACAATCTCCTCTTCTGCAATTACAGCCTCTGAAATTCCACTGGAGAGTCATCTGTGAGTCAGTTCTGACTTGATGGCATATAACAATTACACTACCAAGTCCAGTAACTGCCATAGAAACTATTAGGTCCAGAAAGCTGAAAATAAATATTCTTTCTTTCTTCACAGAAAAAGTTGGTCAATTCTTAGGTTAGATGAATATTAAATTAGTGTTAATGTTTAAGAGGGTGGCTATTCACTGATGGCTTAGTGGGAAAGCTTTGAGTTACCAACTCAGAAGCATTTGGTTTACACCCACCAGCTGCCCCTTGGGAGAAAGATGAGCAATTTCTTCATGTGTGATTTACTGCCTCTGAAAGTGTGCTGGAGGAGAAGTGTAGGCCTGTTCTGACTTGATGGTTCTTAATAGCAACTATTCACTTAAAAAATCAAAACAACCCTTCTTGAGTCCATTTCAGAATTCTCTTATGAAGATGAGGGAAAGGAAAAGACATAAATAAGAAATAGTTTTGGGGGAAGGGTGGGCAGGGATGAAAATATGCAAACAATGTATGAATGGAAATCCAAGTCTCTATAAACTTTCGTTAAAAATTCAGAGAAAAAGAAAGAAAGAAAGAAAGAAGAAAGAAAGAAAGAAAGAAAGAAAGAAAGAAAGAAAGAAAGAAAGAAAGAAAGAAAGAAAGAAAGAAAGAAAGTTAGTTTTGTAGTCAGGTTAGCCTGAGATCAAATTTATTTTGCACTTATTAGTTCCATGATTAGGAGTAATTTCCTCATCCTCCCTGCATCTGTATAATGGAGTTATATGTGAGAGTATATAAACGAAGTTTCCTATACATGATTCAGCATGAATATTCAATAAGTCCTACTTAGTTCACCTACCTAAATCCAGTGTTCAATAGAGCTGACAATTTTCACTGGGCGGGGAGAAGGGATGGGAGTGGGGACGTTATCCTTGACAAGCAAAATTAACACTACTTAAAATGGTTTCTGTTTGTTTTTTTGTTTGTCTCATTTTCACTTTTACTGCTTTCAATTACACTAAAGGATTGTACCTTAAAATGGAGCCATTACAGTTAAAATTAATCCATTTTAGTCTTGGAAAGAGCACAGCAGGAGTGCTCTTTGGAGGCAAGGATGATGAGGCTTTGCCTGATAGACTTCAGGTATGTTGCTAGCAGGGGCTATTCCTTGGAGAGGGACATGAAGTTTAGAAAGGTAGAGGATTTGAGAAAGAAAGGAAGACCCTCAACCAGGAGAATTGACACAGTGACTGTTGCAATGATCTCTAATGTGCCAGGAAGTGTGAGGATGGCATAGGACAGGATAGGGTTCAGATTGGCTGTTCTCAGGGGTCGCTATGAGTTGTACTTGATTCGACGGCACCTAACAACAACAACAGTGTTCAAGCCTGGAACAAATAGTTTTAAGAATTTTAATCTCTTGAGATTTCTGTTAAAATACATTCTGTGTAAAATTACCTTTATCAACAGTGAAAAAACAAGTCAATTCTATAACTAAAAGTTGAGTTTTAGTTGATTATAATACTGAAATACAGATTGCTGTATATGACAAAACTCTTTTTAACTTTTTAAAAATCCTACTGACTTTTCTGTTATAAAATAAGATACAAACTAGAAATAATCTTTGCAGTTCCAGAGACTGAACAGTTTTACGTTGTCATTTTGGTTAGGTATCACTAATTGACTGAGACACTTCATTTTGTTGTTGAACATCATCAGATCTGAACCATCCCCAAGACCTCTGCCAAACTCAAGCCCATCATTGTTGAATTCATTGTGCCAATTCATCCCATTGGGGGTCCTCTTCTCTTCCATTGACCTTCTATCTTTCCCAACAGGATGCCTTTTACCCCCAGGACTTGCCTTCCTGACAACATGGACAAAGCAAGCATGTAAGATGAATTTTTACCATCTGGAAAAAGAGCAAGGGCTCATATCCGACCTCTTCTAAACCCACAAGTGGGAACTGTCTCCATTATCAGAATCCACAACACAAAACCAATTCTTATGAAGTCTGATATGTCCCACTCATACTCCTCCACCTATTTCTACTAATTCCAACATCAATCCTTTTGTTCTACTAAGCTGAAAAGCTATAGCAATAACTACACAAACTTTGCAAAACTAGACTCGTAATTATTTATTAGGGAAATTGTGTTATTGTTATTGTTGTGTTGTGTTATTGTTGTTGTGTATGGTAGAGTCAGAACTAACCCATAGCTGACCCTTCAGTGGGTTTTCAGAGGCAGTTATTTGCATGGGAGATTGTCCTTCTTTCTCCCACAGAGTGGCTGGTAGCCTCGAACCACATGCCTTGGGGATTGTAGTAGAGCCTCTTGTTAATAGGCTACAATTCAGATTGGCAACAGGATATGATTTCTCTGCAAGGACAGTTTCTGAAGGGTGATCCCTTCAGCCTTCAAACTTGTGGCTTTAGGCTTGTCATAAAACTCCTTTATTCCTGCCAAAGCCTGGGAGAAAGCCCCTGTTCAGGCTTCAAGGGACAGCAATCCCAGGTCAGTTCTGTCTCACACCAGGCCTCTGAGACTCTACTGTGGTTGCTGTTGCTTTTCTGTAGATCTTCATCTGTATGAAGCAGAAATCGCCAGTGCCAAAGAATTTGCACTGCTTTCTCTTCTTTCTTGCTGGTACTGAGATTCCCAAAATTCTGCCCTGAACTTGGTGGAATGGTGAATCCAGTCAATCCCCCTCTGGGTAGACTAACAGATCCTATTTGTATGTTCCTACCCAGTCATGTGGCAAAGTCAAGTGCAATGGCTGAGGAAAGCCTTTTTGAACAATAGACTCAGCAGACCACACCAAACCTGCCTCTAAAAATCACCGTGGTTGCACTTCCTCTAAGACTGATTTGTTTGTTGGCAGCCTATGGGATTCTAAATACTCTCTGAGAACACCACAATTCAAAGGAATAATTTCTTATTTGGTCTTTTTTTCTTTATTGTTCACCTTTAAGTTCCATATGAAACAAACAACAAAAAAAAAAGTAAATTCATTGCAATTGAGTCAAAATCAACACAGAATCATTGGTGAATTGGAATAAGCAGAGAGATTCAGCCTTTGGCTTAGGTGCATGTTTCCCTATGGACGACCCCACCAGAGCTCACTAGTAGTGTAACTGCTGTGTAAGCTTGTTGGTGTGTGTCATTGAGTCAGAACAGACTCCTAGCTGACCCTCCAGTGGGTTTTCAGAGACAGTTAATTGAATGGAAGGAAATTGCCCATCTCCCACTATGTAACCTCATATACTTTACTTTCAGGAAAGTTGAGTAATAGCATGAAAAGACAAAATAATAATACATAATCAAAGTAATACCTAGCCTTGGAGGTAGGAAGAGATGTGCTATCCATAGGGCCAATTTTAGCTTTTTAAAAGAAACGTTTGCAAACAGTGCACCTTCTTCAAGTACAACTTCAGTGCTTAGAGATGTGATTTCCTACAGTTAAAGCTTCATACCTTAAATCTTACAAAATGAGTGTTTTGATTTTCTTTCAGCTCCAAGTTTGTTCATCCAATCATATTCCAGTATGCAAATCAACCTTAGCCTCATTCAGATTTAAAGCAGCAAATAAAGCCAAGAGCTCCAGAAAGCTGAAACAAATCTCTGAACCTGTCATCTGTATCCCAGGAGTCCTACCAGGGATGTCGTCCTCAGGCATGCCAGACCTACCTGCCCCACTCACCAATATTAAGATCCAGCACACTAAGGTTAGTAAGATTTACAGTTTCTGCTTTATCAAAACTTTATTTATTTAAAGCATAAGCATTTCCATTTAAGCCAAGTAAAACGCTCCATGGAAATGCAAAAATAAAAGATATGCAAGATGCAGGTCCAGGTCTTGATCCAAAAGTGAGCTGCAATTATATCAGACAACTTTTCGTTAATTCATTTCTTAAAACTTTCAAGGAATAATAATTGTCTTCTATGTGTAAAGTTCCTATGTAAGACTCAATGAATCTTATTTAGCAGTTCTATTAACTCGGGAATAGACTCGGAGATATGTATCATTAGAATGGTAAGTATTTACCTTGAGACTTTTTTTTAAAGAGCCTCATTAGTGACAAGATAAACACAGTGCACACTGAAATGATGTGACCTTTTTAGATTCATAACTAGTCCTAAGATCAAATCACCTAAATCTCGCATCTGGATGAAAACTCTTGCTTCTCAAGCCATCAGATGTACTATAATCATTTAGCACATTCTGAGGGGAAAAAAAAGCATTCTTATGTATTTATTCAGATAAGATTATGGTCATTTGTCTAGATACTGAGTTATTAATTGATAAATAGTTCCAGAAACAAGAGCAGATATCAGACCCACAGGTAAAAATCTACAGCTAGCAAGAGCAAAGAAATTCTGCTAGAGCCATTCTGAGATTCTCTCTGATCTTTTCTTTCTCATCTTTACTTGAAACTTCCTTCCCAAGTCTAAAACTCCAAAATTAAAAATGTTCTAGTCAAAATCTTTCTAAAGTGAGAGTTTGGTGTGATACAGAAATCATGCTAAGAAACATACTATTTCAATGCAGGAGAATTCATTTTACTTTCTGAATGAACTAATGAAAAACCAAGAGCATTAGAATTTTATGAGAAAAGGAAAACTCTCCTCTACTATTTTTCATTTCCTTGGTTGAAATTTTTAGTAGTATTGAAACCCTAAATTCTTTTATATTTTCATTAACATATTAACATAATAACAACAGATGTGAGAGTTGTTCAGCTCTTTTCCTGAATGCAGTGTGAGCAGAAATCAGAGGGTGCTTTGACAAGGGTAAGCAGAGCTACAAAGTTAATCAAGATACTATGTTCACAAAGCATGTTAAAGGAATTTCTTCCATTTGGTTTTCTTAGAAGTGGGAAATGAAAAAATAAGAGATGAGTCTATTCTCAAACAACACTTGGACAAGTTGTACCCCAAGATGAAAAGATTGCAGTCAACTTCATGTGACAGGAAGTTATCATTTAAAGTAATATCATCAGAAAAATTTGAGGCAATAAGTGGATTCATTCCACTACTGTCATTAAAGAAAATTTCCTTGTGTCTATTTCTATTACATTACCTGGAGATCTTGAACAGGTTGAGCAAGACTTGAGAAAAATTACTTTGCAGAAGTTTGTTTCCTCTTCCTTGCATAAGAGCCTCAAAAGAGATTTAATGTGGAACATTTTTATCTAGAAAATTACATTTCATTTACTAAATGTTAAGCTTTTAACAATAGTAGACTTGAACATGGTACAGATTGTGAGGATGATGAAAGATAGGACAAGGTTCATACCTGTTGTTAGTAAGATAGCTGTGAATCATAGTAAAGTCAATAGCACCTAACAACAAGAATCATGTAAGGACCAGTGTCAGACAAATAGGATGGTCTGTAAAATCCTGCAAGCACATAAGTAGTGATCTCTTAAAACAGAGATATGTGTTTATGTCTGTAACTTTTCCACGTGGAAGTTGCTGCATGAGACTTCCCCTGTAAGGAAGATAACAGATCCGATTGTTTTTTAAAAGGCAAGATTTAGACTTATTTTAAAATTGTGATTTTAACAAAAGTTTACAGAAAGGTTGGGTTTTCATTGAATCGTCATTACACATTTTCCTCCCTCTCTTCCTTCACCTCCCGCAGTCCATTTTGCAGTGCACCTCCTGTTCCAGATTGTTGTCCTACCAATAATGCCTAATCCTACAGGCCTGCAGGCAGTTTTTTCCCCTCATCTGTTCCAAGGCAGTGTTCATTATCTCTCCACTCTGTTCTTGCTTTTCCCCTAACCTCCCATCTCAGTTCTATTTTTTTAAAAAGAGAAATAAACAATCTAGAAAAAACAATACGGTTTGTAAACATTCATTCAAATCACAATAACTTTTAAAAAAAAGTATAGATTTAAAATGCATGCATTTCCTTTTGCTTTAAAGAACATTTCTGAGCAAAAACACTCTGTAGTGAATGAATTTTTGTTGCTTATTTGTCCTTTTGAATCTGCTTTGTTCAGTTATCATTTTACTGTTTGTGGTATTAGCTTCAGCCTTTTCACACACATGACTACATCAGTTAAGTATACAATTAGATCGGAGCATGAGCTTTTTCAAATCCAAGACTTTTCATTTTCTTCAGTGTGTGTCCCACCAGAGAATTGTTGTGTAGTTGCACTTACAAGGAGTACATTCAAAATATTAAAAACAATGAGCTTATAAAATATTACATAACATGGGTGAGCCTGGAGGACATTATGCTGAGTGAAGTATCTCAGGCATAAAAGGACTGATACTGCATAAGACATAATATAATAATACTGTTATAAAATAAGATTGACATGGGGGGTTGGGAAGAGAAAAGGAAAAGTGTGGATAGATTATGAATACTGCTTTGCAACAGATGAGGGGAAGAACTGTTCAAAACGAATATCTGAGTAGGCATTATATATATGACAACAATCTGGAACAAGAGGTATATTGCAACGTGGCCTGCAGGAAGTGGGGAGATGGGAGGGAAGACAATGTGCAACAGTGAGTGAATATAAATAAATAAAAAGAAGAATCAGAAAAGTAGGAGTTATTAACTGAGTTTCCTGTTGACAGATCAAGTAAGTAAAGATTTGATGGTTCACCATGTATTGGTCAGCCTCAAAAAGAAATCCTAATTATTTTTTTATTATTTAAAGTCCCTCTAAACTATCATTAAAATACAGTTGGCAGGACAAGATGGAGGAAGAGACAAACAGGACTTAGTAAGACAAATTGTTAAATTATAGTAAAGAATTACATACTTAGACTTGAAAATTTCTTCTTAACAAAATGAAACAAGTCATGAATGCATTCCTTTTATGATCTAGTCTCTAGGATAGTCTATTTATTTACGGGCATGAATCAAACAGAGATCAGAGTTTTAAAAATACTCTATTAAACAATTCTAGTATTTGAAATTTAAAACCAAAATAACTTCAGATTAATTATTTATCCTTGTTTACCTCCTTTCCAAGTCTTCATTTATCATTTACTTTCCAACCCAATCCAAAACACCTTCTTTGAATGTTATATGATCATTGGGGAAACTACAACCCTTCTCCTTGCCTCCATTTAATTATGCATAGAAAAGAGAATAAATAAGTTAGTGGTTTATTAAGGTGGCTGAAAGCATGAGAATGAATTCAGGCGTTTAAAGCAATTAAAAAGGTTCCTGGCATATGGGAAGTGATTACTTTATGTGAGCAATCCTTGACCTATTTGGTCTTGAGAATCCTTTCTGGTTTTTCCAGAATTTTCTCTATAATCCAGCCTTTCCTAGATTAATTTCATGCAATTATTTCTTTCATTTCATTCTCATCTCCTGTGTTTTGTTTTTTCCCCCACTCACATTTTCTTGCAAAGCTATGTCCTGTATGACAACGGTTGCTCTAGACAGATGGTTTTAGAGCTTAATCAAGAATTTTGGTGAGCAAGAATTTTCTTTTACTTGAGTTGGAAGTTTATTTTCCATCCATCCTTTACAACATTGTCATTTGCCCCATCAATATTGGTGTTAGGTATTGTCAATTCAGCTATGACTTATAACCACTCTGACATATCTGAACCTTGTCCTATGCTATCTTCATTGTCTCTGAAATGTTTGAGCCTACTGTTACAGTCACTGTGTCAATCCATCTTGTTTTAGTTTTTCTCTTTCAATAGCACATCCCCTTTCTCAGCATGATTTTTTTTCTCAAGGTCTGATCTCTCCTGGTAGGATACCCAGAGTATGTGAGATGAAGTTTCACCATTCTTGCCTCTAAGGAGCACTCTGGTTGTATGCCCGCCAAGACAGACTTGTTTGTTCTTTTGACAATTCTTGGAATATTTCGATTTTTCTCCAATACCACAATTCAAAGGCCTTAGGGTAAAAAATAAAATAAGTAAACTTGTCTTTACAATCATTTGCTATGCATCAGAGAGCTGGACAATGACGAGGGATAATAGAGGGAGAATTGATGCCTTTGAGCTGCGGTACTGGAGAAGAGTACTGAGTATACCATGGACTGCTAAGAGAACAAACAGGTTCGACCTAGAGAGGGTGAAACCAGGCTGCTCCTTGGCAGCAAGGATTCTGAGGCTTCGTCTGACATACTTTGAAACAGTTCTTGGAGAGGGACATCATGCTTGGGAAGGTGGAGGAACATTGCAGGAGAGGAAGATCATTGATGAGATAGATTCATTCAGTGACCGGGTTAATGGGGGTGTGTCAGAGAGAGTGAGGTTGGCAGGGTTTAGAGCTGTTGTACAAAGGGTTACTATGAGTCACAGGTGACTTGATGTCACATGACAACAGCAACAACAAACAAAAAAAAATAAAAGAATGAAATACATGAAGAGTATTTTCCATACAAGGTCAAACTCTTAAAAATGTCAAATTTTTAAACTTAACTATAATTCGTAACTCATTAATTTGTTCATGGTGGAAGAGATCCTGAGCATTTCACTCAGATACAAATCATACAATGGTAGCTAAAAGAAATTGTGTGTACTTTGTGTCAGCATGTATTAAGTTCATTGCAAAGATTTAATTTAATCATCACAATAACTCTTTGAGAAGGTTACCATTCACATTTCACAGATGAGGAAATTTAGTATAGAGTAACTACTGCCTGCACTCCTTTGAGCAGCCCAGTGACTTGTGTAAAGTTACACAGGTAGTGAGTGGCAGATTTAGACTTGGAACCCCAGTGAGCACTCGCCCACTGATAAAGTGAGGCTTTCCTTGATCTGAGTCCTTGCCTGATAAGTGATTTGTCTAAGGTCAGTCACTACAGCTACATGGGACACCAAATTACCATAACCACCTTTTATCTTTTATTATTTCATTTATCCATTCCTTCCCTGCCACACCCATGATGTGGCAAATGACGGCAAAATGTGCTTCTAAGCACGGTTGTCAATTTGAAAGTGTTCGGCAACATGTAGAGGTCTCACTATGAGCCATTCTAACCGCTGCTTAACTGTTCTCAATACAGCAGAAGTAAGTTTTGCTGCTAGATTAGAAAAACAGGTGAAGAATAAGAAATTTTAGAAAGAAACATATTTTCACCTTGAACCAAAAGGCAGAGTTTTAGCTGGGAGAAACTCTTGATTCAGAGTGCTTTGATAGAGGCACATGATTCCTGTGCCAACTGTAGCTCTTCAACATCTAAATTTTTTTTTTTTTTTTTCTGGAGCAGGATTATTTTTCATGAAAGAGAGTTATGTGAATCTGAGAATTAGATACTAGGCACAATTTTAAGTGATTTTTTTTTTACTCTGTTCTCTTGTTACTCTTTTGATAAATTCAGGCCTTACGTATTAAAAAAAATCCTATAGTATTTACTCATGTCAGCCTAGACCCTCTACTTCCCCTTTCCCCTCTTTTCCCTCCTTCCCTTGAATGGTCGTTCTGTGGTAGGTCCTCTATCAGAAGGCAAATATGTTTCTTGCGCAATGGAGCTTAGCCTAGAAGGGTGTAGAAGCAGGCATGTAAGGTTCATTAGTTAGAAAAACAAGAAGTACATTAAACCTTTATTTGCACATTATGACATATGCTGAAAAGAAGAAAACTGAAAGTTTAGGGGGAAACTTGCTTTGGATGAAGTTGTTACAATGTCTCCTTCTCTCTCTTTTTTTTAAAAAATTAATTTTAATGAAAGTTTACAGAGACTTTGGATTTCCATTCATTCATTGTTGCACTTTTCTCCCTGCCCACCCCTCCCCCCAATTCACTCGTCTCTTTGAAAAGTAAAGGGAAAATTCTTTCATTGTTATATAATCCCTTCCCTCAAGTCCACTCCACTATGTTGCCTTCATTTTGGACTCCCGTCATGACAATAATATCTAATCATATATCCCTTGTAAATAGTTCTCTCCCTCATTTGTTTGAATGCAGTATACATTATTTATCCCCTCTTTCTCAGTCTCCCCAACCCCTATGTCAGTCCTGTTTTAAAACAGTGGCACCATGCAGTATTTGTCCTTCTGTGGCTTAGATATTTCACTCAGCATAATGTCCTCCAGGGTCACCCATTTTATATAATATTTCATGAGTTCCTTGTTTTTCAATGCAGTCTAGTCTTCCGTTGTGTGAATATACTAGAGCATTTCTATCTGGTTTTGAGCTCTGGTGTCCTAGTGGCAAGAAGCTGTGTTGAATGAAATCCAGAAAATACAGGGCTCGAAATCACCAGCTGCTCCATGGGACAAGAAAGGGCAATCTCCTCCCATGGGATTAATTGCCTATGAAAACCCACTGGCAGGTCAGCTATGGTTCAGTTCTGACTCTCCAGTACACAATACCACCACCACCAATAATTTTACTTCAGATTTTACTTTTACACAGAATAAAATTTTATATTTATGGTTTTTTTAGTTGTATGTTTCTTTTTCATGGACAACTGTAGAATCTAGTTAGATAATAATTTTTTGTTTATTTTTTTTTATTATTATTATTTTTTGTGCGTGTACCGTCAAATCAGATCGGACTGGTGCAGGAGGAAATTGTCCCTCCTTCTCCGGCAGAGCATCTGCTGTGTACCTCTGGGATTGCAGTACAGCTTCTTGCCACTAGGCCACCAGAGCTCCCCTAATTATTTTTTATTTTTTAAAATAAATTTTAGTTTTCTATTGGTTTGCTAACAAAGTTTGTATACGTTGTGTCTCATATTACCCTTCATTCACATTGTTTTATACAATCATTTCCACTCATTACTTTTTCCTTCCTTTTTGGGTTTTTAAAATTATTATACTAGTTTATTTACAAAATTAGAATATATTGTTATCCAGACCAAAAAGAAAAATAACTTCAAACTCTTATACATTTAAAAAGTTAATAGCAAAATCTAACTAGCTATGTTTTTCTGAACTAATTTCTTTCCATTCTTCTGGAAGTTACTTCTCAGTGAAATAAAGGAACTCATATCATGAGTTCAAATGATTCAGTCGCCCTAAATGAACCTGCTTAGTATTTCAAGTAGAAAATCAAGGAACTGTGTGTGCCCTGTAAGACTTTCAATGAATTATTTTATTTTTAATTTACTTATTATGATTACCTTTTGTGTTTTGAATTCGAGTTTACGAAGCAAACTGGTTTTCCATTCAGTAATTCACATACATTGTGTTTCGTGACATTGATTATAGACCTCACATTATGGTTGTATACCGCCTACTTCTTTTTTTTTTTAAGGAACCATTTTTTTCTTTACATTTTTTTCCCCTTTATTGGTTTGCTTACAAAGTTCATAGGTATTGTGTTTCACACTATTCCTCATTCATATGTGTTTCATATAATCATTTTCATGCATTTCATACATTTAACAAACGAACCACCAGGACCTTCTGAAGAGTGCTTAGTGGTCTCTCTGGGTGGTCTTGGACTTCTTTCTTTTCTTACAGAGACAGTATTTACTGTTTGCACCAAATTGGTATTCTTATTTGTTAGATTTTATGTAATCTTAGTTTGATAAACTGTCTTTAAAATATCTTGAACATTTAAATTCCTTTACATTTATTTTATCTTCTTCTCTACAGTTATTCATAAACAATGAATGGCACGAATCAGTGAGTGGTAAAACATTTCCTGTCTTCAATCCAGCAACTGAGGAGAAAATCTGTGAGGTAGAAGAAGCAGATAAGGTGAGTTTTTGGCACTCTAGATCGCATTAACAGAAGGAACCTCGTCTCCCTCCATTCTATGGCCTCAACGTCCTTTGTTAGTTTTAAAAATTAAGTTAATAAAAGAGCTTCTAGGGATATCTGGGATAATTTCTAAATTCTATTTAGTTGATAGAGGGCATCTTAATTTTATAATGAGCCTGTCCTTTCTGTATTTATTATTTGTATACTACTTTTTCTTACTTATTTTCCCATTGACATTTCATTGAATAAATATCAAAAGACACAATTGATCATTGATTTTAAAAGGAAATAATCCCTTATTTATATTATATTAAGTTGCACTTAATGTAACATAAGTTGTTAATAGAACTTAAATCGTTATATAAAATGTAAACAGAATTAAAATAATATTTTCAGTACAATATGTTGTAACAATTATTTCATTTAAGTAATTTAATTATTGTTGATAAGTATTCTTAAAAGTAAATTTAAACTGACCTGAAATGAAGAATAAATTTGTTATTGCTCTCTAATACTTAAAAAAATTTAAAACTCAATTTTTGCTTAGTAACTGGGGGGAAAAAACAAACTCTAAGTGCTCTTTTAACTTAGTATCCAAATCAACCTTGGGAAGAAAATGTTATTCCTAACTTTTCAAGTAAAGATAATGAAAGTGTGGAACAGAAAGGTTATGTAACTTAAGGTAAAATTGCTAAGAAATAATGAGATAAACTTTCACATTCTCTCCTTCAAACCAGAGCTTACCTATTTAAATTCCTTTCCATTTATTGGAAAGATCGTTTACCTTACCTTGTAATTATTGTAATGATATGAAAGGTAATATTACACAGTCTCGGAGAGGATGTCTGAGATGTGATCAGTAAATCAGTTATAAGGGGACTAAGCAACATTCCTAATTATATCATATCGATGAGGTGATGTTGTAAATAGCAACATCCAAAGCTCTTTATTACAGATCTGAGAGAACATACAGAATCATCTCAAAAAAACTGCCTCCCTGTCTAAG